CGCCCCCGCCCCAGCGGGGGCCGAGCCGCGCGCCACCTCCGCCAGGACCCTCCGCCGGGAACCGCCGCGACCTACCTCCGTGCCGGTCGGCGACAAGGAACTCCTCCTCTCGCCCGCCGGGCCGCGAACTGGCCCAGAGCATGCGCTCTGCGGGCCTCCGGCCTCGACCCCGGGCCCGAAAGGAAAACAAAGAGCCTGGCGACCCCTGGCGACGTCCCCGGGAAGTGCAAGTGACGCTTCAGGCCAGGGCGCTCCGGAAGGCTCGCTCCACCTTGACCTAGGTACACTGGCTGTGGATTTCAGAGACCCCGGATCCGGACAAGTGGGCTGACAACCACAAAGACCACCTGAAGTCAGGGTTTGTTGGGGAAAATCTGTTGTGGGAGGGGCCGTACGATGAAAAAGATACTCATCTTCCTTGCCCTTAAGACAGCTCCCGACAGGGAAAGATGAGAAAACAGACTGGGGAAAACACACCGGGCTAATAAGGATAGCCACAGGGGCGTCTGGCTCAGCTTGGGACTTGAGGAAGCCTTTCCAGGTAAAACCTAGAGAGCAGGGCATCCTAGGGGCAGCAGTCCTTGAGCCAGGTGAACCTGCCTGGCTGGAGGAGAGGCTGCCTGCGGTGGGTGGGAGTGACTGGGTGGGAGTGACGGGGGAGAGAGCACTGGGGAGGGAGAGTCAGACCACGGAAGCGGGGTCTTGTGTCTGTCCTGAGGCCACGGGCATCTATGGAAGGCATGTGAACAGGTGAATGACATGATCAGATTTTGTTTCTAGAACAAACAGGAGAATGGACGGAAAGGAAAGTCAGAATAGGAGGGGGCGCGAGAAGAGTAGATAAAGGTGTGAATGGGGGCTGAAGCCGCAGGTACCAAGCAGACTACCCTAGGATGTTAACACTCATTCTTCAGGATGGATACAAACTGATGTTCAGGATTCCAGGCGTTCCCTAAGGTGACCTAGTCTAGGTCATCTTATTCTGTCTGGAGGGGTCCCCAATTAGGGTTGTGACCTCTGCAGATGGGTATTTTCTCCATTTCATATTGATTCTGATTCTGAGACTTTCTGTTATGCCTGAACTCTAGATGGGTTTAGACCCTTTAAGGATTATTTGCCACATAATTTTCTTCTACTAGCAAGACCCACCCCAAGTACTCCCCATTTTCAGGGTTTCTTACCTGTCCAAGTTTACCTCCGCCTCCATCACTGATTCTTTTATTGGATGATATTCTGTGAAATTTCTCCAAGTTTTAATCCTGGGATCTCTGATCTCTCTCTGCTGTCTTCCTCCAAGAGCTTACTCATTCACACTTGATATAATTATAAAAATGATTATCATAATCGATTTTGTAAAAGCCCTTACTTAAGTATAGAAACATGTCCATCCATGCCAATTAACTCTGTTCCTCACAGAAACCTCAACAAAATTTAAAAAGAGAAAAATATGGTTTAAAGAGATTAAGCCAGTTTTTTTTGGGGGGGGTCAGCATACAGGTGGTATGAGGAGACTAGACCTTTGATTGTTCAGGATGAGCCATTATCCTTTAGCTGTGAGGGCAGTCCATGGGGTCTGGTTCTGTCCTCTGACCTAAGTTCCAGCCTTTATCTCTAAATCAAAGTGAAGACCTGACATAGAAAATAAAACTCATTTCCCGTGGACCTAGACTCCTCCCAGCTTCATCCTTCTAGCTAAGGTTAAAGTTTTCTCATAAGTCCAGGTTCAATCCCAAACCATTTCTGATTCTTCCTTCTCTCCTCTTCAGGTTTCTATTTCTACCCTTGAGACTAAAGCACCACTCTCCTGGCTTCTGTTCTTGTTCCTTAACCCTTCACCTCCATTTCACACCACCTGGATTCCCAGGCTAGTCTTCCTAAATCATGGCTGTGAGGCATGCTTAGAGTTTTTTCTTTGCTTAGACATTTTTTGAGACTCAAGGATCTCTTTAGTGATGTGCTTGGACTTGAGGCTGCAGAAGCCCCAAGCAGTTATTTCCCATTTCCCTCTTGGCCTCTGCACTGTACTCTAAAGGTACCTATGCACATTCCCATCTTCTCACCTACATTAGGTGCCTTCCATACTAACTACACTGAGTTCTTGATATATTTAAGAACTGCAGTGCAGTCCCTATCACTGTGAAGCCTCTCTCGGTTCCACTTAACTTTTTTCTTCTCTGAACCTAATCACTGATTTTAATTTTTTCACTCTATCATTATTTTATCTTATTTATTGGACATGCATAGTAAGTACAGCAGTCAGTTAAACCTGATCCAGAATGTACAGATGATAAAAGTAAAAGGATGTTGAAAGTTATGCATATAACATAAAATCAAAAGTTTAAGTAGAGACAGGAAAGTTGTAAAATGACCCATAGCGAACTTCTCAGCAACATCTAAGATGACAAATACATTGGCTGAGAGTAACAGTAGATTTGATATTGCAAAAGAAATAGTGAACTTGATGGCCACACTTCAACTCCATAGCAATAAAACTATCCCAAATGAGAGAAAAAGAAATTTAAAAAAATGAAAAGAACAATACTGAGTTATGGAATAAATTTTTCTTTTTCTAATTTTTTTTAAAGATTTATTTATTCATACAGAACTGGGGTACAAGTCAGAGGTGCAGGGGTGGTGGGAGACTTCACCGCAGACAGAGTGGGGAACAGAACAGGCAGACTGATGAAGTACACCGCTGAGGGGAGCAGAGAGCGGGTCAGGAGAGGTCTGCTGGGCCATATGGACACCTCTATGGCCAGGGATCGTACACACCCTGAAGCAGCTGCAGCCAAGCTTGCAGTGCTGCATCCTAACCCATTGCGCCACCAGGGAGGGCCCGTTATAGAATAAATTTAGGTGGCTTAATACTTTGGTAATTGGAGACCCTGAGAGGAGGAGATGGGGACAGAAAATATGTGTAGAAGTAATGATTAAAAAGTGTCCAACTATAAACCTATAAGTCTGCAATGCTTCATTTTATGTGTCACCATGACTAAGCTATGGAGCCAGGTATTTGGCCAGGCACCGTCTAGATGCTGCTGGAAAGATTGTTTTTTAAAAGATAGAACCTTTAGGCCCTCCCTGGTGGCGCAGCGGGTTAAAGCACAGCATTGAGAATCTAAAGCCGCTTCCGCATGAGTTCGATTCCCGCCTGCCCCGGAGGTTACCACATGGTGTGGCAGACTTCTGACCCGCCCACTGCTCCCCTCAGCAGTGTACTTCGTCGATCTGCCTATTCTGCTCCCCACTCTGTCTCTGGTGAAGCCTGTCGCTGCCCCTGAGCCTCTGGCCTGGACCCCAGTTCTGTATGCACAAATAAATAAATCTTTAAAAAAAAAAAAAGATAGAACCTTTAAATCTGTAGACTGTGAAAAAGGCAGATTACCCTCTAATGTGGGCAGTCTTTATCCAATCAGTTGAAGGCCTCAAGAGAAGGAGCTGAGCTTCAAGATTGCAATGCCAACTTGCTGGAATTACTAGTCTGTTTTACCTGCCCAACAGATTTCATACTCAAAAGCCCTTCAACCATTTGAATCAGCAATGTTTTGAAATACTATATTTCTCTCTGTCCTTCTTATCCATTCATCCTTCTATCCGTCCGTCTATCTGCATTTATTTTATTGGATTTGTTTGCCTGGAGAAACCTAATAAAAATCCATTAAGCTCAAACAAATCCAAGCACAAGAAATGAAGCACATTAAAATAGATCACTTAAAACCAATGGCAGAAAATCTTAAAAAGCAGTCAGAAAAAGTCATTTTTATGTAGGGAAGAAGGAGGATACAATGCAACATGTTATCCACAGTGGAACAAAACAGTGGATACAAAACAAGATAATGGAGTAACATCTCTAAAGGACTTCCTTGAAGTTACAACCAGCAAGGGCTACCCAGCAGAAGTATCCTTCAGGAAAAGGAAACTAAGGTACTTTCTGTGTGATTGCACCCACACGCACAAGCTGAAAGAATTCATTACCAGTACACTCACAATAAAAGAAATGTTAAAGAAGACCTCTGTACAGAATGAAAGTTAGATTAAACCCTTCAAAAATAACAATTACCTATTTAGGCAAAAACAATGTACTGTGAATGTTGTAATGTATATAAAAACTACATGACAACTATAACAGACTATGGGGTGAGAAATAGCAGGTTCTTATAGTAAGTAAAATGACAAAATATCAGTTACATGTAGACTCTAATAAGGCAAGCAATGACAAATAGTTATAGCTAGTAAGCCAATAAAGAAAATAGCTGATTAAAAAAGGTATTAAATTTTTTAAAAAAGTGCAGAAAAGAAAGGGCAAAAGGGACAAAGAACAGATGAAACAAAACCCAAGAAGACTCAACCCTAAGCACATTAATTAAATATTAAACATTTTGAAAGGCAGACATTGTCATAATAAAAAAAGCAAGGCTAACTACATGCTGCCTGCCTACAAGAATACACAAGTAGGTTAACAGTAAAAGGATAGTGGGCCCTCCCTGGTGGCACAACCAGTTTAAGCACAGCACTATGAGGCGCTCCACAGCCACTTCAGCATGAGTTTGATTCCTGGCAGACCTCCTGACCTACCCACTATTCCCCTCAGCAGTGTATTTCAGTAGATCAGCCTGTTCTACTCCCCACTCTTGTCTCTGGTGATTCTTCTCACCCCCACCCCACACCTCTGGCCTGTGCCCCAGTTCTTGTATGTAAAAATTAATAAATCTTTAAAAACAAAAAGGATAGAAAGACATTGTGATAACAGTCAAAAGAGAGTTGGAGTGGCTAATTCAATAGCAAAGTAGATTTTAAAGAATGTCATTGAGATGAAGGTAATTTCATGACAAAGGATTGATCACAATGTACTATCCTACTAAACATATGCTATTGGCAGAGCTTTAAATACATAGCAAAAACTGATGGAACTTCTAATAGACAAATTTCTAACAATTGCTGGAGATTTCAATATCCTACTGTGAATCGATGATAGAACCAGCAGGCAGAAAACCAGTAAGTGGATAATACAACACTTTCAATTAATGTGATTGACATTTCTGCAACAACCTTCTTCACTTATACCTTGCATTCTTTAAAATGCACATCCTTTCCAAGTGCACATGAAACATTTACCTAGATCATATTCTGGGATATAGAAAAAGTCTCGACAAATTTAAAAGCTCTAGCCCCCTTAGCTTTCTCTCAGCGTGGGCCCTTGGGCAACTCACAGTGGGTAGGCTGAATGGAA